ATTGATCTACCGACCTACCACCGTTCCAGTATTGAAGCCTAGCAAAATGTTTGTATCGACTTTATTTATTTTAGAAAGAAAAACGAAAGTGGAGAATACGATTCACTAACCTCCTGTGAAATTCTGAATCCAACGGTACCCCATTTAGGGTATTTGAGCATGACAGGAGTTTATATTTGGTACAAAACCGATTTCGAGCCTTACTGTAATAATATATGTGGATGGATAAATATACATATAAAATAGAATTGCGAGATTATAGATCAGAGTACAATGTGTATAAACCCAAAATTGGCAAATGTAAAATATAAATATAGAAATAAATTCATTTACATACATACATTGCAGAACTAACTTAAAAGTATAGAGAGGGAAAAAATTAATAATTATAATTATATTTGGTTGTACATATGTAAGAAAATTACATTTGAATGTTAGATAAATATTGATTTTTTTTTTTTTTTTATTTCTTTATGACATTTACAACTGTATTACATAAATACATCAAGTAAATTTGGACATAATTGATATAATGACATGAATACACTTGCTGAGTAACTACCCAATGGTAGCACTCTAATGATATGACTATATTAGGAGATCACGGGGCCATCTTCTTTTCAGACGCCTCGGAGGGTTATCAGGAATTGAAGAGGAAGCAAGGTTAGAAACGAGAGGGTTGGGATGATTCTGAAGTTTATTATGGAAGGATAGGTATCTGGATTGGGCCAGATCTGAAACATAAGGAACATTAAGATCTTTATGGATAATTTTATTAGTGACAAAGTAAGGAGCATTGAGGATTTTACGAAGGATTTTGGATTGTAAGGATTGGATGCGAGAGGAATTCGATGGTTTAGTGGAGCCCCATAGCTCAACTCCGTAAGTCCAAATAGGTCTTATTATAGTCAAGTATATAAGTCTTTTGTAATTAATGGGAAGTTTAGAGCGTTTGTCTAGTAAGTGCTGAAGTAATCGGAAACGTCGAGCGGTTTCTTGTCGTTTCAGTCTAGTATGAGGATTCAAGTTAGTCGTTTGTCCAGGTGGAGTCCTAGGTATCGGATTTGCTCAACAGGGATAAGTGGAGTATTGTTAAAGGAAACTGTAGGACAGGAAGTCGTTGGTTTACGACGAAGGGTAAAGGTAATTTGGTGGGATTTATTGGAGTTTATTTTAATTCTCCAGTTTTGACACCATTCTTCTAGATTTATGATGTGTGATTGAAGCATTTGGGATGCAATTTCTGGGTCATTGTTTACTGATAGGATACATGTGTCATCGGCATATGTGGTGATGACAGTGTTGGGACAGGTAGGGTGTCAGCTGTATAAACTGTATAGAGGATAGGACCTAGGATACTACCTTGAGGAACACCAGCAGACTGGGAAAAAAGGGATGAATAGGCGTTATTGTGATTTACTTTAAAGTATCTATCAGTAAGGTAGGAACGGATAATGAGGAAGTATGTAGGTGGTAGGAATTTTCGGAGTTTGTACAGCAGTCCCGGGTGCCAAACTCTATCAAACGCCTGTTCAACGTCGAGAAAGACTCCCGTACAGTACATTCCGCGCTCCAATGCAGAGGAGACTAGGTCTACCACACGATGACATTGCTGTATAGTGGAATGGGAAGTTCGGAAACCAAATTGGTGATCTGGGATTATGTGTTTAGAATTTAGGATAGGGTACAGGCGTTTTAAGATGAGTTTTTCTAGGATTTTGCCCATGATGGGTAAAAGAGAGATAGGACGGTAAGAGGATGGGTATTCTGGTGGTTTTTTGGGTTTGTGGATCATTTTAACAATAGAATAAATATTGATAAAGATAAATAGATGGATAAATAAATATATAAATATTGAGACATGGTTAATAAGTAAAATGAATACAAAGTGGAAATATTTAGAATAATGAACAATTAAATGAATTGATCAATAAAAATTGAGAGTAGATGAAAATAATAGAATAGAATATATAAGTTATTTTTCACTTATAAGATTTAAAATGTGTCTATATGTTTTTGTCTAATTTTATGATTAACAGGATTCTGTTCTATGTGAATGTGGATAGATTCGGAAATGAGTCTTTTTTCATGCATGGTTAGGGTTTTATGAGTGGTTTTTCATGGGTCGTTTATTTATTTATTTTGTTTTACTTATTATATATACTTGAAAATATGTATTTAAAAAATACTATTGAATATGCAACGTATTTGTTTAGATTAAACACAGGGGAGAGGGGAGACAGCCTTTATACCATTCGTATATTTCTACAACTTTTTCAGCTAAAATTTAATGACGTAAAAAACTGAAAAATATCTTTGATTTCTTAGTGTGTAAAACCTTAAATAAAAATACTTTTTTTCACAGTCCGGCTGGTTTACCGCGGAAAATGTGACAACAATATCACGTGAAAATTGAGGGGTGATTGAATTGCGGCCGATCATTATCCTGGATAAAAAGGAAAAGGAGGACAATAAAGAGAGCGAAAGGTACCACGTATAAGGGTGTCGGTGATGTACGAGTGTGCATTGAGTTTATCTCTGACTCTAAACATATCCCATCCCAAACAACAACCGACCCTCCTCCGAACTGCACTTTTACCGCTAATTCTATTATATTCTAATTGCTTACTTAGCCTTTTCCATACTAGAACTCTTCCGTCTGCACCATAAAGGCTATACCTGGACTCGTCAGAAAACAGAACAGAGGCCAAATCATCTTCATGCAATGTGTTTATGACAAAAGTGAAGGCGAGCTTCTCAGTGTGCTGCCGTTAGTACAGAGCCGCAAGGGAGAACCCGAGTATGCAGGTTGAGTTCAGCAAGCCTTCTCCTTACTGTATGGGCGCTGACATCTGCACCTCAGCGATACACAATCAATGAGAAGTGATAATGGTTTCTGAGGGTCTGCATAGCAGTGAAGCAGTTATCAGCTGGACCTGTTACTCTGGAATGGCCTGATCACGGCCTCCTAGCGTAGCTTTCTATTTCCCGTTACCTCTGAACTGCTCGCCGAACCATTGTTTCAGGCAGCCTGTGGACCCAGGTCACGTATCACTGACTTCAGCCATTATCAATGAATGCAGTAATAAGAGCGACTGCCACGAGATCCAAACCAATTTTAAACTCTTAAAAATGTTTGATACAAATGGAATATTGTTTTTCAAGAAAAACAAAACAAAAAAACAGACATATAACAGGATTGAATAGGCAACTAGAGAAAAAACTGATACAAAGTCCACATTTTATTTTAATACTTTTATCGTTAATCCTAGAGAGAATTATGAAATTTTCTTAAAAGGATTAATGTATGGTAATCTCCTTTGACCTGTCATATACCTGTTATTACTTCCAATTACATACCTAACTAGTCGACTTTCCTTAATCGATTTTAGTTTACAAATTTTATTAATTCATGTAGCTTATTTATTATGGATTTTATTTTATTTTTACTTCAAATTATTAGGGGGGAGGGACGATATTCTCGCCCCCTCAACCCTTCGGAGCAATAGCCCTCCCCCCTGTAGTCTGCGCCTATGGATGCATGTACAACTTAAATAATATAAATTTAAAACTTATTCAACAAAGGTGTGTTTCTAAAAGTGGATTATCTGTAGCCTAATTGGGAAATGACAAAAAAACAAAAAAAATACAATCGCGAATAAAATGGTTAATAAGAGAATTTATAATCCAGTCATTGAATGCTCGAAAAGGGGGTATAGCAGAAAATGGCAGGGTCAAACGTTCTATACAAAATTAAAGCTGCAATATGATTGATTTTACACCCTTTTTCACTATCTCGCTATCTTTTTCGCTTAGTTTCCGATGTATTCGTCCTCAACTATCGCTAATGTGTAAACAAAGTATTTTTAACTCATGTTTTTTACCGTATTTGACTTGCTAACTCTTGATTTCTTTGTTCTACTATTAATTCAAGGGGAAGAAAGTGTTTAGTAATTAAATTTTCTTCAAGAATATATATTATGTTACTAATTTATCTTCAACATTTCGAAATTTATATCAATTATAACTTTATAAGTCAATTCCGTGAATTTGCAGAAAAAAATTATTTTTATAATATACTTTATTGAATGTATGTTTTTTTCTGTTTTTTTTTTTTTCGGTTGTCTCTACAGAATTCCTCCTTACTTCGCTAATTCTTAGTATGTCTAAGTAGGCACCCATCTCCTCCACTATTTCAATAGATGATTAATTTGAGGCGAATAAAATGGGTGTGTAAAATCGCTGGGCTTAGTAATGAAACAATTTGTCGAGGTATGTGTACTGCAGAGGCAGTATGCAAGTTACCAGAAGGCCTCGACAGTGCGTGTTCAGTATTGAGGGTAAAATGACTGAGTGGATGAAGGAAGGTGTATAGATGGACGACCTTAAGAGGAGACGGATCAGCACCCAATCACTCTTGCCCTGCGGTGTAAGAGATCTAGCTTAACACTCCGCAAGGATGGTAACCACAACCGGAGGGATCAATATCCAGACTTGTGGGAGGATGAAATACTAACGGAGAGATCAATCTCCTGACTTAGTATATAGGACGGCAGGTGGATAGATCAGCGACCAACTAACATGGAGTAAGAGAAGAGGGTAATGTTAACGGATGTTGTGAAATAAAAAGCAATTTTTGAATAGTTGTATTTAATTAAAAATACCAATAAAACATTTAAATAAAAAAAAGATAACATGTTATATTGAAATCCGATTTCTCTTTCGATATTACGATAATATCAAATCCCATATTGCGATACGATATTTGACAATAACGGTGGTAAAATATCGATATATTGATATCGCTAATATCTAAACATCTTTTAAAGTAATCGAGTTTTCTTATCACTAACAGCTGTTTATGATACTGTTGATCAACATTCAGTTCTCTGGGTTACTCCTTGGTGTTAGTAGGTGATGGGATGGGTGTCTTAGTTTTCTTTTATTTACCGTTGGTACAGTAATATTATGACTGCATTTTTGTACTTTTAATTGTTAGAATGGCTACTCAAAAACCTGTGGAATGGGTCTCTACTTTAATAACCAGATTTGAAGATCAGGTAAAATAAGTTCATCCATTAAAAGGACGTTCATACATATTTCTTAACTTAATTCCTTTTCGAAATGATGTTTTTAGTTGACAATTGTTTTATTTATTTATGTTTTTCAACTTCCCACTAGGTCTGATTTTAGCTGGAAGTCACAAATAAAAACTTGAACCCATAACTGAGCTTGATTTAACAATTTTTTTTCTGATTTTTGCCATTTTATTTTTATTTAATGAGAATAATCAGGTGTTAGAAAAGAAAAAAAAAACATCTATGACCATTTTTCAGCAGGAAGGATATCTTGGCTGTGATAAACCTTGGCCATTGTTGAAATAAAATATTTGTTGTAATACTTTTACTTGCTTTGATGACCTTTTTATTTTGATAAGAAAAAAATGCCATAGTTGTGATTTATTGATAAATATTGGTGGTATATTATTTTTATGTTTTTTTAAACTTTAGTTATATTTAATAATTAGTTATATTTAAACTTTCGTTCATTTCTTTCTGCTCACCTGTGGATACAGTCAATATCCTCTTGCAGATTTTGGGTAGTCTCAGGTATCTTAGAAGGTTGGTATGATAGCGAAATTTTGAAATCTTGTGATATAAGTGATAGCGGGAGTGATGAATGAAGTCAGGAAGGTCGCTAATTTAAGTGGAGAAAAGGGTTGGAGAGAGTGAGCAGCCCTAAGGAACACCTCAAGATAATTGGAGGGATGAGGAAGGTGATTTGTTAAGAATAACAACTGTCTGGGACCGATGGGATAGAAAGAAGAGCAACCATCTAAGAACGCTATTTGATATGGGCAGGCTTTGGAATTTGGAAACGAGGATCTTATGATTGATGGAATTAGGCTTGAATGTAGTATCAAAATATTTTCAAAACAAGTTTTGTATGCTCGTAAAGCAGTGCTGGCCTTAGACATTTGGTAACATAGGGCAATGGCCTCATCTCCCCCCAAAAATTAAGCTTATTTCTCAAAATGTTTTATATTATGTAATTTTAAAATTTTATTTCATTCAATATGTTCCTAATTCATTTGCTTTATTAATAGGCTAAAATAAATTATTCTCACATGCTTTTTAACTTTTTTTGTATTTCTAACAAGTGGCAGGCATTCTTCTCCAGGTCGGACCCCAGGGCAATTGAGAAGGTATGAGTTAACTTAAGTTTTTGAGTTTACTCATGTACGACTGTACCTCCTCTTCGTTCTCCTTTTGAACGATAAAATTTGTCCCAAACCAGGTTTATCCACATCCATTCATAGAGTATAGAATAAACTAGGGTGAGCATGGTAGTATGTTCATGCTTCCAATGAAAAATGTGTCCAGGTAACCCCATCCTCTGGTTTCTCTCCCAAGTCAAGGGTTATAAGACCTACCAGTTATATACATGTAAAAAGTTATCATTCTGTTTTAAAATAAAAATTATACTAAGGAGTAATATGAGGTGATTAAAATGAAACATTATTAATGTTATGTATGTTTTGTAATGAAAATACGTTTTTAGCTTCCTTGCCGAGCTGGTCCTCAGACAACACATTCTCGAATTAATGAAGAACAAAATCAAGCTTGTCTGATACAGATTAGCCGACATAAATTTTCTTTAGTAATATCTGGCCTGACAAAAATTTTACAACGTGTTAATGAAACCGTAAGTTCATTTTAATATAAATAAAATATTGTAATATTATAGTGTATGTTGTTGAGTGGATGGTAAATTTTGTTCATTTGAATTAAATAAGTAGGTATTTTAAATGTAAACAGCATCGTATTACTTAAATAGAGCACAATAATATATTATTGGTTGATATATAGCATTTCCAAGTCAATTGTGACCTTTTCCTTTTGAGATAATACTTTCCGTTTCAATTGTAACCCAACTGGATATGAATCAATTTTTAAATATCATGTTTTATTTATTTTTTATTTAATAGTAATTATATTAATTTAAATTATGACTTTTGAAATAATTTTGTCATATTCTTATCATATATTTGTTATTTATCAGATAATTGATATTAAGTGGTAATTTCAACTAGTCAGGTTTAAGATTACTATTTAGCCTTTCATTGTTGCGTAGATGCTTTTTGATAGATTTCTCTGAGCTAAATGTTCCAACCATATTAGCCTCCTTGCCTTCATATCATGAGTTATTGATTAACCAGTTTCAGTAAAGATTTCTTTATTAGTCCTTTTCCTCCATTTATTAGTATTTTTATCTGAGATCACTCCAGTTATCGTGTTGAGGATTTTCCTCTCAATTCTTTCAATATTTTTTTCCAGAGTGCTGGATACAATTTAGATCTCACATCCCTATGTTAGAACTGGCTTTATCATAGCATTATTACACACCCTTAGTTTGAGATTTCTAGAAATTTTTCAGAATTTCAAAACCTTTAAAAGGGAGAAGAAACCTTTGTTTGTACTTGTTACATGCTGTTCTGTATCTAACCATTGGTCATTCATTGAGGTTATGTTGTATCTGAGGTATTAGAATTTGTCTGCTTTAACGATTTCCTTTTGCCGGGTTAGAATTTTCAGCTTATTATCATATATTTTGTTTTATTTGTAGTTAAATGTAGGCTGATTTGGTCTTTTCAGAGTTTTTGCGTGTCTCTAAATTTCTTCTAAGAACAATTATTTATATTATTTGCATATCTAAAGATTTTATGATTCTTTCTGACATGCATTCCTCCTTCTTCACACAATGTTATTCTTATCACTTTCTCTAATACTAAATTGAAATCCACATGCGTGATCAGAAATGTGATAGTAAATTTGGATTTAGCATTCTTAAAACCTATTAAACTATCTTAATATCATAGACAACTTCAACAGTAACAGTAAATCAAAATTTGCATTGTAATAAAAAGTCTGTATGTAAATTTGGATTCAGCGTTGTTAAGAACCTTGCAAACAATCCTAATATGGATGAAAACTTCAGCTGTAACAGTAAATCAAAATGTGCAAGTGTTATATAATAACCAATAGTAAATTTGGATTCAGCATCCTTGAAAACTTTAAAATGATACCTACACCTAAAAATTCGCCCAATTAATAATTAGTTTGAAATACTTGGAATCTTTTTTTTTTTTTTTCACCACAACGGCGGTGCTGTGCACAAGCTTTAGCCCATTCGGCCACCCCGCCCACAAATTCGAAAACCTAATGAAAAATTGTTAAATTAATGATATCTACATCCCTCCCCACCAACAAACATAAAATAATAGGTAAAATATGTTCCACTAAATCCCATGAAGGGTCTTAGGTTCAGTACTTTGTAAGGAAATACTGTTTGTGCAGGCAGGTGATTGGGCCAAGATCACGCTCAACGTACCCACTTTATAGAGGCTGGATGTTTCCCATGAGGGTCTCTCAATCCCAGGTTTGATCCACGGCTGATGTAATTGAATAAATAATTACCTGCCATTTGCCGGATTCGAACCGAGGACCATGAACATAGGAATTCAGTGCCTTATCCACTGAGGTACCCTGATCCAAAATAAGTAAATACAATACTAAAAATAAATAACTTTTTTTTTTTTGTGATCTTAAACCTCACTGGTTGAAATAGATATTTTCACATATAGAGAAGTAAAATAAAGTTAATATTAGAAAATATTATATATAATAGATATATATTAGTAGATCCTCAACATTTTGTGTGAAAATCATGTGTAAGTAAAATATAACAGTTAAACTTAACAAAAGGAAAGCCCTGCACCGAGTAGTTTATATGGAGTAGGAGATTTCTAGGTATAGGTTGGATGCTCTCGGGTGTTATTTCTCTTTAGTTAACTATCAAATTCTCTTTCCGGCTGTTTACACACATACAAATTGAGTTTCTCGCTCACATCTGATTAACTTTTATTTCTCCTTTAGTTAATTATCAAATTCCTTCTAGTCTTAAGCTTGTTCACACATGTAGACGCACCAATGTTGGCTGTTAATCAAATTTTTTATCTATATAACGAATAATTGATAAATTTGTATTTATTAGTCTTATTCGATGACCTTTGTACAGACAATTATTTATTATTTGTTATTTACAGCCAGCCTGCACTATCTATTATCTAGTATCCGTTATTTAAGATGAAAATATGATTTGAATAATTTTTTTGTAACTGTGAGGACTCTTTCGATATAACGGTCCACAATTATGTTTCCGGGTGTGCTTTTTATGAAAATACTGTCAGATTTAAAATTGTTCATCAAGTATCTGATACTTTTCAGATCTACTAATATGTTTTCGGGGCCGTTCTATATGAAAATAGTGTCATATTTATAGTTTCTCAATTACATTTCAAAATTTTCATTCGCTTTTCCTAAATGATACTATAAATGTTTAGAAATAGACCCGTGAAAACAGGAGGGGTACAAATTTTTAATCGATTTTTCTCTTTTATCACATGAATGATTGCTCAGTTTTCACCATTCTAACAGTTTTCCGACTATATAGGTGTAGGTAAAAATGGAGAATTGATGTAGAAAATTTTCCGAATTTTCATTCTCTTTTCCTCTTTTATCTTGTGAACGTATAATCAGTTTCCTACTCTTCCAACCATTTTTCAGTTATTTAGAGGTTGGCAAAAATTAGTAAATGGTGTAAACATTTTTCTGAATTTTCATTTACTTTCCCTTTCTTATCTTAGGAATAAAGAATCAGTTTATCACCTTTCCAACTATTTGCCTGCTGTACAGAGGTAGGCGAAAATGTGGAAATGATTTAATGGGTTGTGGATGATGAAATTTAGATTACTCCTCTTTAAGTTTTCTACATGTACTGTAGGTAACATTTGTGAAATTTAACCATTTTAATTCTACATTAATTTTCTCATAAATGACACAATAGATAGAGCTTAGAAAATTTATAGAGGAGTAATCTAAATTTCATTATCCATTATGGATAACATCATTTTCGCCTACCTCTACATAGTTGGAAAACAGTTTGAAAAGTGAAAAACCAATCTTTTCCTCCAAAGATAAAAGAGGAAAAGCCTCTAAATATTTATAAAATTGTTGGAATGGTGAAAACTGAGCATACATTCACGAGATGAAATAGAAAAAGTGAAAGAGAATTCAGAAATTTGTTTACACTTATTCTCTATTTTTGCCTACATTTGCATAGCTGGATAATTGTTGGATCAATGAAAAACCGACCATCCTTCCCGAGATAAAATAGGAAAAACGAGAGAAAATTCAGAAAAATTTCTGCACCAATTCTCTATTTTCACCTACCTCTACATAGCTGGAAAATTGTTAGATCAATGAAATACCGATCATCGATTCACAAGATAAAAGAGTATAATGGAATGAAAATTTGGAAAAATCAAATAAATTTTTCTTTTTTGGCAAGCCTTCTAAAAGAAATTTACTGTTAAATTATTCAAAATATATTTGAAAAACTCAAATAATAAATAAATAGATAATAGATAACTTGAATTTATTTATTATTTAGATAAAAGGTAAACAGAAATATTTGTTATTGTAGTTGAAAATACTAATAAATTATTCGTTATCTATTATTCAAGATAAATTTTGCCCAACACTGACACACACAAACTTGCACCATTTTGCAAAACTTGATTATTTGGATTCAGGGGACCTCAAAATATACAGGATGTCCCGTAAATAAAGGGAGAATATTTATAGGACTGATAGCAGATCCCAAGAGCTACAAAAAAGTTTATTTAAAAATGATCTCATTTTCCACGGAAAACTGGAAATTTAAGTGTTTTTTTTTTGTTAAGTTTTCACATTTTTTGTTGAATAGGAGGCGGTAACTTAAAAAAAAAAATTTAATTTAAGTAATTAACAATTTCTCCACAGTAAACTATACAAGATTTACTTCAAATGAATGTAAAGTTTGTCATTGTTAAAATCATTATGACTTTTGAACGGGTAAACTAAACTAAGTTCTGTTTTTAAAAAAATCATAAATTATTTGCAATTTTTTTTTCGTAGAATAAAAATTCTCCAATTATACTACAGATACCCCTTACTTTACAGTGAAGCAATTTTTAATTAATTATAATAAATAATTTTTCAGTTATCGCCTCCTATTCATCAACAATCGTCACTTACTTAAAAAAATGCAAAACTTAAATTTCCGAGTTTTCTTTGGAAAATTGGACCATTGTTTATATAAACATTTTTGTAGCTCTTGAGGTCTGCTATCGCCCCTTTCAATATATCCCTCTACTTATGGAATACCCTGTATAGGTAAGTGAAAACAAAAATTGGAAAAATACATGTATGTGACTTTTTTAAGAACAAAAAAAAAAAAAAATATCCTATAATTTTAGATCTTGTCATAGAGATAAAATAAAATTGCTCTATCTAGTCCTCTGATCAAAGAAAAGACATTAGAAGTCTCAAAGAAGTTGGGTCAAAATGATTTTAAGGTGGGTTGATAATTTCATATACACACAAATCGTTTTGCGAAGCCTGATTATTTGAACTCAGAGAACCTCAAAATGTGCATTTCTGTTGAAAACTTGGATTCAACATATTTCATGATAGCAATAGTTTTCTTTTACTAAGAAAGATATTTACTATATTTGATATATGGTTAAGTAAAAGTAAAAATAAATAAAATATAATATTTACAAATTATTTCATGCACTGTTGGATTACTACTGAAACGGAAAA